TGCTTAAAAGAAAGCGAGAGTTATAAAACTAGGCTGCTAGGATGTAAAAATATGTGTAGAGCAAGTTTACTTAAGAGTACTTGCTTGGTTTACTTAATAAAATTTTGAGGAAAATTGGTTTTGTTGTAAAAATTTTTGGAAAAATTTGGTACAAAGGATCTACAGATTAAGTGCGCTGAGAACTAAAATATCAAAAACTTTTTCTTTGTACAAACTTAAACTTTCAAAACAAAAATGTCATCTCATAAAAACAATAAATCCCAAAAAACACACTCTAGCATCTATAGAAACCAAGACGATAATTATTCAAACAATCAACAAGATGCTAATAATTATATAATATTTGGTATTTAAGTTATTCGTATTATTACTATCTTTTAAAAATTATCAATGAAAAAAATACAAAATTTTGAACAATATAATATTGAAAATGAAATCATTATCGAACTTGCTAAAGAAATTTACTATCAACAAAATATTGTAAATAATATTATCAAAGAAAATAAATTATTAAAAAAACATATTAAAAAAATAGAACATTCTGAAGAATCAGAACAAGAAAATTCAAATAAAAATTCTGAAGAAAATCTACAATCTCCAGAATTACCAAATAACTCTAACAATTTATCTGACTCTCAGAGGTTTGTAATTAATAAAACTTTTTTTTTTATCATTATAAAATTTTAATATTAATTCTCTATTCTTTAGAACAATAACTCAGAGTCAATTTAATATGGGAATAAAGAATATTTACAAAGCTCTCTTTATTTTTACTTTGATTCTTTGTGTAATTTCTATTTTGGTTACTTGGTATTTTTAAATGAGTAGAAATTTTTACATAGAACTCATCGAAAGAGAGAATGTAAATATCGAAAGAGAGACTGTAATAATAGACACTATAATAGAAGGATTTAAAAAATTAAAACGTAAAAAATAAATATATAATTTTTCTTCTGTATTTATATATTTCTTCTTGTGAATATTAAATAAACTTTTTTTATAAAAATAAATTTTATAAAATTCTACTTGGTCAATCTCCGAATCAGAAAATACTATTTCTAACTCAGAAATTAAACAAGAAAAACTTTATTATTTCATTCTATGTGAATCTAAAAAATTAATAACTCTATCTAAATTTTCATTAAAAAGTATCTTTTTCATCTCTACACTAACACTTTCTTTAAGTAATACAATATTCATATTATGTACAATATATGAATAATAACAAGAAATACTGAAGAAAATAAAAACAATTAAAAGTAAAACAAAAAGAAATATAGATATATTTTTATATCTATCAACGTTCATTTCTAATTTTTTAATTCTACTTTTGTAAAATTCAAAATGATACATTACCCTTTCACTTAAATAATTATTATATTCTAATAATAAATATTCATATTAATAAATTAATTAATAATTTAAATAATCGATGTTTGATTTTACCTTGCTCAATTTCTGAGTTAGAAATAGTATTTTGCGATTCTAAAATGTTTTATATATTTTTGTTAAAATTCTTGACAAATAAAATAAAAAAAAAAATAAAAAATAAAAAAAACCTCTTGGTGTTTTAGCAACTGCTTCTTCGTAAGTTAGTGGATTATCACCATTCTCAACTTGTAAAGATGAAAATCTACTTATGTTTGGAATACTTGATATTGTACATTGTAAAGACATAGTTACAATTTTTGAATTAATAATATTTTTTTTTTTCAAAGATTAAATTTTTTATAAAATTCGTTGTTTGTTTAACAAAATCCTATATATTATGAAAATTCAGATGATCATGAACAAAAATAAATTCATATAAATCATTAAAGTAATCTCATAGTCATGCAGATGATATAAATCTATTCATATTTAATATTCATACTATTATTTTAATAAATTTTTAAGTATATTTAATAAAAAAAAATAAAAATAAATCACATTTTTTAAAATAAAATTTTCATTTTTAGTTCATTTATCATTTTTTCCTGAATTATAATCAAATCCCTTTGTAAATTATTTACAAATTCCAACTTATTAATTACATCATTTAATTCTTTTTCTTTATTCTTTAAATTATTAATTTTATGATTTTCTACGTTTTTAATAATATTAACTATATCGTCTTGATGACATAAAAAAATATTATTATTTTCTTCAATTCTCTCATATGCCTTATCAGCATAATTTACATTTGAAACTAAAAATCCAAATAAATTATTCTTTAATTCTTTTTCGAATTTTCTAACTTCATTTTCCATAATCATAAAACAACCTTGATAAAATAAACATTTAACATTTATATCAATCATCTTATAATTTCTGATTAATGTTTTATTTTTGGTTCTTTCAATTTTGATTTCATATTGATTCAAAAGATTTTTAACCAATATCAAATATACTTCTTGTTTTTCCTTTAAAGAAAGCTAAATATTTAATGAGTATTATGTTAAAACATAGATTAATCACTCATATAATTCATCTTACACCCGTTTCATTCATTTGCCATGAAAACAGTACAAATTTCTTCCTACTTAAGGCAGCGTAACTTTTGATGAATTACATGAATTATTATACATAACTCAATAAAAACTCATGTTTAAAAATTCATAAATAAAATTAAATACTGAATTATTTTCTTTTGATATTTTATGTATTTGTTTTATTTTTTTTATATCTGACATCTTTATGATTTCCAAAAAAAATTCACAATCAAATTTTATTTATATCTTCTTTAATTAATAATTAATGATTTAAAAAAAATTAACAATTCACAAATTAATAATTATATAAATAAAGATCTTTGTAAAAAAATATCAATCAATAATTAAAATTAAATATATAAAAATAAAATAATTAAATATTTTATTTTAATTTTCATCTGTTATATTCTTTTACAAGTTCATACTTCATCTTTTGACAAAGGTAATATTAAATTTTTATTAATGCTATAATCTTATATTAATCATATTTTTGTAAATACAGATACTTCCCATATGAAATGTTATAGTTTTTTTAATAATCTAATGGGTAATTGTGATGATGAACAAAACATTGGTAAAGATTGTTCAGTTTTACCTTGTAAAAACAATCTAGAATGTAAAAATATTAATAATAAACATACTTGTATATAAGTAAATAAATTTTTCTTTATATATATCTACTTTCTTCATTATTTTAAAAAAAAATATTTGAAAAAAAAATAAATTATAATTAAAATTCTTTAAAAATGACTTATAAATGGAATAAAAAATGGGATAAAGATTTACGTTTAATAAAGAAACAAAATTCAAATAAAAATGAATTTAACGATGAATTTCAATATACAAAAAATAAATCTAAATATAATGATAATAAAGATGATGATAGTAATAATAATGAATATATCAGAAAATCTAATGAAGAATATTCTAAATCATTGAAAAAATTGAATAAAAACAAAATAAATGATATTGTTGACATGGCTTTAAAATATTGTATTAAAAAATTTAACATTAAAGATAAAGAAAGAAAAAATTACATGAAAAATAAATTTGAGAATTATATTACAGAGATAAATGATAATTTTGATAATATTGAAACTTTTGAATTTGAAAATGAAATTGAAGATGATCTTGATTCTAAATTTATTTTGATATTTGTTAGAATTACACGAATAACTTATCAAGAAATATTAAATTTAAATAATGATAAAATAAAAAGTAGATATTATAATAATAAACCAAGAAAAAAAGGAAATAGTTGGGAGAGAATTGTTAATGGTTTTGTTAGAGATTGGGATCCTAGAGATGCTATAAATTTTTTAGAAAATTATCGTAGTTAGCATTAATAATAATCAAGATTTGTGATTTTATTCTCAAAATAAATTTAGAAAAATTGTATCACTTTATTTTATTATTAATTAATAAATTATACAAATATTTAAATTATTAATCATATAAATAAATAAAAACAAATATAAATAAAAATCGAATAAACTAAAAAAAAAATAATAATCATAAAACTCCTTCCACTAAGTTCATCCTTTTCAACTCCATTATTTATCATCTTTTTTTCCATCATCATTATTGTCATCATCATAATTAATAAAAATTTCTTCTAATTGACTAATTTCATATTCACTATTAATTAATGATGAAAATACAATACTCTCCATCTGATGAAAAGCTTCTTCTTCTTGTGTAAATTCCGATAATAAAATCTAATAATCTATTTCTAAACTTTCGTAAAAATACAATTGAAATTTTTCAATAAATCCTTTCCGCTCTTTAATTCTTGAAACAAAATCATCATTCAAAGAATAAGAAAAAATATCTTTGTTTTCAAGTTATAAAAATTCTTTGATGAATTCTGAATAAATATTAATATATTTAATTCCTAATTTTTTATGTAAAAACTTTTGAAATCTGACAAATGAATGACTTTGTTTAATTTTTGAATGATTATTATCAATCTCATCAAAAGATAGAATATTTTTGGATTCAATAATATCTTTAGACATTTTTGTATTTGCGATAAATGAAATAAAAAAAAACTTGTTATTTTATAAATAAAAAATATTAATAATTATAAATGTTACAAAATAAATTTTTCTTTAAAATGTTTATCTAAAACTAATTATAAAAGAGATTTTCATTTTGTTTATTTATAAATATAAATAAAACATCATATAAATTATTATCTAAAATAAATTTTTAAATCTCCAGTAATTTTCCTTTTATCTAAATCAAAAATGCTCCCTTCAATTTCCATGTGATTAATCATTTCTTTATTTAGATTTTTAATTCTGTTATCTTCAGAATTCCCAATTCCATTATCTACAGAATTACTAATTCTACTATCTTTAGAATTATTATTAATTTCTTCAAGTTCTAGACTTGGACAAACTTGATTTTCTTCTATTTCATTTTTCAATAAAATATTTTCTTGCTTTAATATTTTAATTTCTTCATTTAATAAAACATTTTCTATTAACAATGAATTATTCTTTCTATATTCTTCAGATAACATTTCATTTTCCTTTATCAATGAATTGTTCTTTTTAGTTATGATATTTAATAACTTTTCTAATTCAGTAATCCTTGTTTCAAAATTTGATATCGTCTGCTTTTTTTTCTCTAAAAACCTTCTTTGTGTAAGACAATTTTTAGATAATTTTCCTTCATCATTTATTTTTTTACGTCCTCTTGTTGATTTAGTTTTTATTATTATCAATTGAAAATTTTAAGCTGTCATAATTATTGAATATTTTTACTGCTCATATTATTTCTAATATTTATAACATTCATTGTCTGTTAATAAATTAATAATTCTTGTAACATTATTATTAATTAAAACTTATAAATATTGGCGTTTGAAAAAAAAAGAAATTCTCAAAATCCATTATTCTTTTAACTTTATTTATTTGTATTACTAAATAATTTGTAAAACATATTAATAAATCTCATGATTAAATTCTGAACAAATAAATATACCACATTTACGAACTTTTTAATATTATAAAAAAAATGTCGTCATCATCAAATACCCTCCCAATTGATAATAACGAACAAAACTCTTCAAATGAAATCTCAAATAATGAGAAAAAAGAATTCTTAATGAAATGTTGTATATATTTTGAAGAAACAAATTTTATCTATCCATTACCATGTAGTCATATATATCATGCTACTTGTCTCGAAGCTCATTTAAAAAATAAAGATAATTCAAATAATATTTCAAAAGATGAAGAAATTTTGAAAAGATGTCCTCTTTGTAATAATGTACTCACAAAAAAAGAAACAGATTCAATAATAAAACATATTGATAAAATGAAAAAATTAAAATTAAAACGAAGTATTGATGAATCAGAAATGTATAACAAAAAATTTCAACAAGAAATTAGATTATTAGATAAAAAAAAAGAATTAAAAATAACTAAAAATAAAAGAAAATTTAAAGAGCTGAAAGAAAAACTTCTTAATGAATATAAAAATAATTTAAAAAAATTAGATGATGATGAAAATATCAGTTTTGAAAAAATTGATCAAGATACTGAAAATGAAAAAACTAGATAATCAAATAAAAATGAAAGAAATTTAAAAAAAATAAAAATTAAATATAAATCATAATTTATTATCTATTGTAAATATTTCTAGAAAATTCTAATATAGCATTTAATTTTTTTTCATAATCATTCCTATCTTTTGTTTCTATCTTCAAATTTTCACATATAATATCTATTAAATCTTTATGTTTTCTATTGATACTGTCAATCTTAGGATCCACCTCTTCAAGGATTCCTAGTGACTGCTGATTATAGTATGAAGACTATAATATTTTATAGCTTTAGA